GGGGGATAAGGGCTGTAGTGGAGGGTTAGGGGCTGTAGTGGAGGGTTAGTGGCTGTAGATGAGGGATAGGGGCTGTAGTGGGGGATAGGGGCTGTAGTGGAGGGTTAGTGGCTGTAGTGGAGGGTTAGTGGCTGTAGTGGGGGGATAAGGGCTGTAGTGGAGGGTTAGTGGCTGTAGTGGAGGGATATGGGCTGTAGTTGGGAGATAGGGGCCAGTGTGACCTTTTCTCTTGGTTGTACTTGCCTCTTTTTATTTCATCCTACGGGTGTTCTGTGGTTTATGGCATGTGTGAAATGTAAGTGTTAATTGTAACGTGTGTTACTGATCTTATTAAAAACGAGTTGTGAAGATCCTGCGCAATAACTGGACAGCGTCACTGTCACCAGGCACTGTGGTGGAGTATTTTCTGGGATTTCAGCAGATATGTCGCAGTTTGAACAGGAGGAAGGGGAGAGGTTTGATGGAATTGTAAATAGATATACTATTAATACTCAATCAGTAGGCCTGCCTGCGTGATATCTGGAGTGGTCGCCCAGCAGAGGTGGTAGAGAGGAATTAATAAAGATTATAAAATACATTGAGAGTTCTCTGATATTCAGGTGTAATGGGATCTAAATGTCGGAGGAGTTAAGCAGCTCTGAATGGGAGGATTTCAGAGAGAGGAATGTGGGGGAGAGTCTGACAGGCAGAGGTAAGGAATTAGAGGACAGGGGTGGAAGTGGGGGCGATGCATCCTGGAAATTGGAGAAGGACAGGCTCAGAGAGATAGCTAAACTGGAAACTACATTTCCCATGATGCACAGTCAAGCCTAATTATAGTTGCCAAGCTCATTATCACAGAACTAGATTAGAAGACGTGAAGAGATTTCGCACCTTATGTTAAAATAAGTAAAGGTGTAAGAATAACACAATGCAGCAAGGTGTGAAACGAGAATCATGCTGCGTTCAATGGAGGCACTGCGCATCATGTTACAGGATAACGTACGAGTAGTAGGAGGGGGCACAGGACACATACGTTTTATCTATTTCCCACATTTGGCTATTCAATGCTCAGTATTAACCCCTCCAGGGCAGTAAAACACAAAACAAAATGTCAAATCGCCAGAGAAAAGCACAACCATCCTAATACAGAATAGAGGAGCAGCTACTCTATAACAACATTTATTGGTTTTATCTTAATGTATCTACTGATCACAGAATTAGATAGGCTGGGGTCAGTGGGTGTAGTGTAATCACAGTGTTTCCCCTTTGGATAATGAAATAAAGCATTGACCTTCTAGCCCATGTCACGCTGCCCAGCTGTAGTGGAGGGTTACGGGCTGTAGTAGGGGGATAGGGGTTGTAGTGGAGGGTTACGGGCTGTAGTGGAGGGTTAGAGGCTGTAGTGGGGGGATAGGGGCTGTAGTGGAGGGTTACGGGCTGTAGTGGGGGGATAGGGGCTGTAGTGGAGGGTTAGGAGCTGTAGTGGGAGGATAGGGGTTGTAGTGGAGGGATAGGGGCTGTAGTGGGAGGATAGAGGTTGTAGTGGAGGGTTAGTGGCTGTAGTGGGGGGATAGGGGTTGTAGTGGAGGGTTAGTGGCTGTAGTGGGGGGATAGGCATTGTAGTGGAAGGTTAGTGGCTGTAGTGAAAGGTTAGGGGCTGTAGTGGAGGGTTAGTGGCTGTAGTGGAGGGTTAGGGGTTGTAGTGGAGGGATAGGGGCTGTAGTGGAGGGTTAGTGTAGTGGGGGATAGGGGCTGTAGTGGAGGGTTAGGAGCTGTAGTGGGAGGATAGGGGCTGTAGTGGAGGGTTAGGGGTTGTAGTGGAGGGTTAGGGGCTGTAGTGGGGGGATGGGGGCTGTAGTGGAGGGTTAGTGGGATCTCATTAATGATGACGCTGTGTGAAGGACTACCGCGCATGCACGGCAATTGCTGTACTGCACCAATCAGCATGTGGAGGGTTAGTGGCTGTAGTGGGGGGATAGGGGCTGTAGTGGAGGGTTAGGGGCTGTAGTGGGGGGATGGGGGCTGTAGTGGAGGATAGGGGCTGTAGTGGGGGGATAGGGGCTGTAGTGGAGGGATAGGTTTTGTAGTGGAGGGTTAGAGGCTGTAGTGGGGGGATAGGGGCTGTAGTGGAGGGTTAGGGGCTGTAGTGGAGGGATAGGGTTGTAGTGGAGGGTTAGTGGGATCTCATCAATGATGACGCCGTGTGAAGGACTACCGTGCATGCACGGCAATTGCTGTACTGCACCAATCAGCATGTTCTCATGGAAACAGATCACCTCAATGCACCTCT